CTGCAGCTGTGCCCCCACTTTCGGGGTCCTTGGGGGCTTGGGTGAGTGCCGTCGTCAGGAGCCAGCCAGGACCCGCGTCTGGGCGTGCTCCTGGGCCCGTCGCTGCGGGTCTGAGCTGAGGGCTCCTGGGGAAGGCAGAGGTACGGGGCCGGTTTCCCTGTCGCTCTGCCTTGGGCCGGTCCTCACGGATGTTTCTGCGGCATCTTGTACAGCCCGGCTGGCGGCTGCGCCGTTTCCCTTCGGAGGACCTGGCGCTGGCTCCTGTGACCCTCCTGAGCACTGGTTGCTTTTCAGAAAGCAAAGCAAAGTCTGCCCAGTCGGAGCGTCGGTAACCTCTCCCAGCACCAAGCAAAAGTTCTGTGGCACTGGTGCCTGCTCCTGGCCGTTCAGAGCCCAGACTCGTGCGGAGCATAGCGGAACATCCCCCTTCTTGAATAAAGAGTTTGTGTCTTGCCAAGTTCTGCGTAGCGATGGATGGGCGCGCTGGCAAGCGTGGGCAAGGAGACAGTTCCCGCAATGCCACGCAGGTGTGGAAACACTGGGTGTTCAGCCTGGCTGCTGGAGACTTTTATCACAAATCTTCAGGTAGAAAGTCTGTAGGTGAAATCTGAAGTTGGCTCAGTCTGTTTCTGCCTGCTATAACAAGAGATGTTGTTCCTGTAAATACTGCTTTCAAGTTTAACAATTCCCTGGTTCCTAAGTGTTTAAATTCTCCCCTGTTTGCTTCCGTAGCTGACTTTGATGAATCTAAGTCCCCCAGCATAGAACAGCTGGATGCACTGAGGGAGTTTGCTGGGATCGCTGCCGGAGCCTCAGGTCCCGAGAGCCTCGCTACTCTTGCCTTTCTTTATATGTGCCTGGCGATTTCGGCTAAATATGGGTAAGGCTGTCTTCCTGCCCCGGGTAAACCTGCTGTCTGGAGTGTTGTTCACCATTAATTGCTTCTGCAAGGTCACGGGAAGGAACTAAATCTTTGAGGCAAAATGAGAAATTACGAGGAATCTCTCTTTGTTTAGGTCCTGAGCACCTCGAGAGACGCTCTTGGGAGCGGAGCGGGTGGGTGGGTGGGATGGGCTGGGAAGCATCTGCTCTCATTTGGGCGTCTGGCTTTGAGGCGCTTGGGTCAGCGCGGTTCATCCCAGCGGTTCATCCCAGCCTTCCCACACAGTTGGCAGCAGTGGAGACAGACATCCTCCCTCCCTTCCTCCCTCCAGTGGGCAGCTCGTTGCGTCCTCGCTTAGGTTAGAACAACTGCTACTGAAACGAGCTGTGAATTCCTTGTCTGAGCTAAGTCTGATCCCTCCTGTGGGCTGAATCTCCCTAAAAATATGAGAACTTGGGGTAACCACAGCTCAGGGCTGTTCCAGTTCCTAAGCCTGACCCACACCGTGGATGGTATCGGTGTAAGGTACCGGAGAGGTGCTCAGGGCGGTCTCTGATACAGCCCTGCTTGCTGTCCTAAAGTCAGACCCTGACTTCAGTATTCATAGCAAAGGAATCAAAGGTTAAAGAATTCTGACGTGCAGTTGCACCGTGTTTTGCTTTGCAGTCTCCGAGTTGCTTGGTGATAGCACTGGGGCTGTCACCAGCCTGCTCTGAAACCACCAGTTCGTAGCTCACGTCACTCTCCAGGCAGAGCTCCTGGGCCGGGTGTCGGGGTCTGTAACACAACCCGGCTGCCGTCGGTGGAGGCGGGGGGCACGCGGGCACAGAGGCGAGCGTGGTTCGTCTTCCCCAGCAGGATGTAACCACGCAGCTACAGATCTGGCTGCCCTGCTCTAAACGGTGACAGATATTTAAGCTTTATTTAGAAATACATTTAAAATCATGTTTACAACAGTCTTTGAAGGGTCTCTTTGTGGTGCTACTCAAGTGTTTAGTTACTAAGTGCCCCTGCTAGTGGCCTGACAAGCCGTGCTAATCATAGATCCAATTCAGCAAGGCTTTGTTCTAGCACAATGGCTTCGCAAGGCTACTCAGCTGTGCTGAGCGCTCCTGAAGCCCGCGCGTCTCGGGTGCACGTGCTGACGTTGCCGGTTTTCAACCAGCTTTTCCTGCCGTCGGTCCAAGCTGGCACCTTTTGCCTTGGAAACGGTGTCTCAAGATGGAACCCGAGGTCCTTGTGCAACATCCTGCGTGTTTGTCTTTCAGAGACGTTCCGAGCGTGGACATAGTGGTGTGGTCTGAGCTGCCCACGGGAGCTGGGCTGGGTTCAAGTGCGGCCTACGCTGTCTGCTTGGCCGCGGCCCTGCTGACGGCGTGCGGGGCCGTCTCGTGCCCTCTGAAGGACGGAGAGTCCACAGCCAGGTAACGCAGCCGGGAAGCCTCCCCGCTCTGGAGACGCAGCCCGCGGCAGCTCCGCTCTCGGTGCCGCTCTCTTTCCGTTTACCCACAGGGATTCTGGTGCTCCACCTCTCTCGGTCTCCCGGGCTGTCTTATCTGGTGTAAGATATACGTACTTGGGGGCAAAAAAAAGTCTTTATTTCACCAAGCAAGTAAAATACGCTTCAGTGTGGTGATGTTTTTTTTTTTAAGCTTTATTTCCTCTCTGTCCCTGAGCATCTTCCAGGTTTTGCTTTGAGTCCTCATGGAGTCAAGGATCCTTTCTGTTTTTTCTGCGCTTTCACATGATTTTTTTTCTGCGTGTGGTACATTTCCTCCTGGTCTCCCGCCTCAGTTTCCCCTTTGTCAGTGGCTGGGGAAAGGGAGTTTCTTTCCTTCTGCCCTTGGCTTGCTTTCCCTTGGAGTTCAGCCTTGACAAACTGGTCGGCTGTGCCGTGTGTCTGAGGAGGCTCTGTTCGGGGACGCGCATCGCAGCTGGAGCGGCAGAACCCTCTGTGGTGTGCTCAGCGCCAGCTGCACCCTTTTGTGGTCGGCTCCCGCGGGTTTTGTGCGGGGCGGAAAGTGAGGCGGCGCGAGGGGCTGGCTGTGTCCCGCTCCGAAACCAGAGTCTGCAGCCTGACCCAGAAACACGTCCCCAGAGCGGAGCGGTTTGTACGCCGTGCTCGGGCACATCTCCCCAGCAGTCGCACGGCGTGAGACAGGAGAGGCTGGTTCCAGCCCGAGCAGCGAGGATGTCTTCATTCCCTGCTCACACGTCTTAGCTTCAGCTTGAATACAGCATGATATTTTTTTTTTTTCCTTCCAGCTGGCATGCAGAAGGGTAAGTGAGAGATGGGGGTGTCAGACTTCAGAAGGTTTTTTGCTTAACATCGCAAGAAAAGAACAGCGTGATATAATGACTCCTGTGTAGAGAAGAATCGCAGCCTCTCAAAGAGGATTAAAAACAAGTGGTTTACAGCAAACCGCGCTTCTATTTTGAGTAGCGGTGGTGTGAGCTGTTTTCCTGAATGCTTCACAGATTAAATATTAGCAAGTGAAATGAAAGGTGTGTGGAGATGAAGACGTTCAGCTGAGGCCCGGGAAGGTGGGGAGTTAACGGAAGCAGCTTCCAGCTCGCGGACGGCTCTCGGAGTTTCAGCCCTGCCCGAGCAGCGGTCACTGACCGTTCTTGTACAAGACTCGTGTTTTTCCAAAATCCACTTTTGTGCCTCTGCTCTCTCGTGTGATGCCTGTTCTGGGCCCGGTGTTCCAAAAACCTGCTGAAGGCGCGTTCTGGCTGCACCGAACTCCGGCTCTGGTCTCTGCAGAGCGTCTCTGATGCCGGGCTCGGAGTTTCAGCCCTGCCCGAGCAGCGGTCACTGACCGTTCTTGTACAAGACTCGTGTTTTTCCAAAATCCACTTTTGTGCCTCTGCTCTCTCGTGTGATGCCTGTTCTGGGCCCGGTGTTCCAAAAACCTGCTGAAGGCGCGTTCTGGCTGCACCGAACTCCGGCTCTGGTCTCTGCAGAGCGTCTCTGATGCCGGGGTCTCTGATCCCGCGGGCCGTGTGGACGCTGGCTCGGGCTGTGCGCTGCGTGTCCGCAGCGCAGGCGGCAGGGAGGGTTGGGGACGGGTGTTGCTGAGTCTGACCCAGCACCCTCTGTGCCGGCGTTTAAACTCTCGACGCGCTCACCGATTTGTGCGACTGCTTTGAAGACAACAGAAAGACTCGGTTTTGTGTTTTTTAGCGCCGCACCTTCTGGACCTGCATTTGGTTCCCTTCTGCGCTCGAAGTGCCAGCAGCCGGCGCAGCTGGAAGTGTGAGGAGTTAATCCCTAAAAATCAAAGCCTTGCTGGAGACAGTAAATCAGTTCAAACGACACCTTTCTGACCCACTTTGCGAGGCTTCTGCAGCTGAGCAGCTGGCAATTAGAGGCTGAAGTTGCATGTGCGAAGTGCAGCTTTTACTGTGCTCTTCTCACGTCTGTAAACGCCCCGTCCTGCCTGTTGGTGGGAAGGATCTCGGGCCAAGACGCGTGGTGATGCGCCGCGTCAGGGAGCTGGGGATAGCTCTGGGCTTGCGTTCAGTTAATTTTGATCGTCACCAGGCCAGGGCTAGGATCTTCCCCCTGATCTTGCTCCCTCCCTCGCCACTGGCCGTGCCGAAGAGTCCCGAGTGCCGCTGGGCGCTGTGAAGGGCGATGCCAGCTCCCCGCTGAAAGGACGCGGTGCATGGAGGGGACTCGCGGTGCTGGGGCTTCCTGCAGCAACCGGGTGCCTGGTACGGGCCCCGCTGCTTTTGTGTCGCCCACGGCCTCTGTCCCACCTCTCCGTCATTCGGTGCCTGCTGGTTTCGGCTGTGTGTTGGAGTCATTTTCTTGCCTTTCAGGTGGACGGAAGAGGAGCTGGCTTTGATTAACAGCTGGGCCCTCCAAGGGGAGCGGGTGATCCACGGCAACCCCTCGGGTGTGGATAACGCTGTTGGCACCTGGGGTAGGTGTGGGTGTTTGCGGAGAGG